TCCTGTGACATGCAGAAAAGATGAGAAAAAATATGGAAAGATGAAAGAAATAACATCAATCAGCTGCGTGAGAAAGGAAGATACCTTCTCTTTATATGAACTCTTATTGTTTCCCAGGAACACAGCATAAAAAGATAACACACTTCCTTGCATTTTGCAAAAGGCTCTTGACATAATTTGTGACTTATTAACTAGTGATGCTAAACTCAAATTGCACATAAAGCATTAGACACTGTTTCCTGTTTCTTAAAATTTAACACTGAGAAAAATTAAAATATTTTTCATGCAACGCTTATCTAATATTAAACTTTACATTTGCTTAACAGAGCACAGTCTTCACAATAACAGGGTATATTGCCAAAGGCAGCATGCAGACTTTTTGGAATTGCTCCCATCTCTTTCGGTTCACCTGTAAAAACATCTACGTGCTCCCTAGGACTGCATCTGTGGCTAGTTTTAAAGAATGACTATCCATGCAAATAGGCATAATTTCAGCATGAAATAATCTGTAAAATCAAGACAGTAGTCAATGCTTAGTATGCAACCAGGATGAAAAAAAAAAAAGCTTTTAATACTTAGAAACATTATGTTTATTTTGCAGTCTTTGCTCATGTATTCTGGATGTATTAAAAGAGTTTTCATGGATTTAGTGTCAGAGAGAGCTATGCAAGGGACATGATGTTTGTTTACTTTAGTGGTTCCTTGCATACAGGAGAGCAAAGAATGATAAAAAATATATTAAAACCAAAAACTAAAAAATCATTAATTTACATGCAAAACCCAAACACCTAGACTTGTTATCAGGTCACTGTCTTCAGAGGTCTTTTCTTATCAAAAAGTGCATTAAGCAAGTTAAGTTTGGTTACCTTGTGATGAAAATAATAAAATAACAAGGATTTCTGTTCCAGGGGCCCAATTCTGTCAACTGCACACCAAGAAGCATCCTATCCCGCAAGCAACACCCCTGGAGTCCAGGGGTACCAAAATCCTGCTATGTGGGAGGGGTAGAGTCAGGCAGCATGTAAAAGACTGTCTCTTGTCTCCCGCTTTCTCCCAATTGATGCAAATGGAGTTTTTCGGGGGGCAGAATTAGAATATCACCAAAAAAACCCCAAAAACCTGAGGACTATCAGAAGGGTTGTTTTTGTAAAGAACTGGCCAAGGCACTGGCACAGAATAAGCCAGGGCCGAGTTTGACCTTTCAGTCCAGTGGTGTTCATTTGAAATCGATCTAAACTAATTGAAAGACAACTGAAAGAGCTCCTGCTTATTTCACCTAAGATATTCTGAAGGCATCCACCATAAAGATTGTACTTGCCAATAGGAAAAAAAAACAAACCACAAACAAAACCCACCAACACCGAAAACCTTCACGCTCTTCCTTCCTTTTCTGCAGTCAAGCTATGCTTGATTAAGAGCCAGCAGTACGTTCCCAGACTCACACCAGAAACCTCATGTCAGGTTACAAGTTTTGCACTTTTCCCAGAAAATTCGAGGTGCCTGACCACTGTTCCCCTCTCTCTTGCCCAATCCCAGCCAAGGACACACATGGGGAGGGCTTGCTGTACCCTTGAGTCAGCAGCTCAGGAAATAGGCTGTCCTGCGCCAGGTTGGAAGGTCATTGCCATGCATCCTTCCTCCCCAGTGTCCATTTCCCTCCCCAAGCCCCGCACCAGCCGCTGCTCCACAGCCCATTTCTGCCACCGCAAACATGTGGCAGGAGGTGCTCCAAGCGATGTCCCCTCCTTCCCTCGATGGAAGCTGAAAGCATCGGAGTTATTGTACACTTAACCTGGGTATTAAGCAACATCTCCCATTTGCCCTGGTGTTATCCTGAGCCAGCCAGGCTGCCAGCTTTAAGGCTTACGTGCCTTTCAGCTTAAATATGAGAAATAGTTCTACTTTAGCCTGACAAAACAGAATGGGTATTGAATGGCCAGTTAATATTTCATTCTCGGGGGACCAAAACCAATTTGCACCTCAAGGGGAGTGGAATGGCACATAGAGCGGGATGCAAAATCCCAGCCACAACAGGCAGAATCCAAGACTGATTAGATTAGAACTGAATAAATAAGAACTGAAATATTGGGGAGGGGGAGAAATAATTAGTAAGCATGTGTCCTTTACACAGCCACCAGTACTTTGGCTGCACATTGTCTCAAAACTATATTCTAAAGACATCTAAAGTCTCTGTACAGCTCTCCAGAAAAACAGAGCTAGCAAGATAGTCTTTGGTTGTCAAGATCTATGTAGAAATCTCCAGAAGCACCATTTCTTTCCAAATTACAGAGTTTTAAATTTGTGAAGGTTAAATTTGGTTTACGTATCGCTTTTGATACTCCTGGCATGACAAATGTAGTTTATGTTAAATTCGCCGGCCACATCTCAAGCCTCAACTCGCACAACGAGGCTTCTTCAGAAACCAAACGTTTTCCATACCGATGGAATTAAAAATCATACCAAGGGCCTCAGCACTTTCTGTGTCCATCCATAAACACAGCAGTAGTATTTTATTTACAAATTTACTTTCAAATCTTTTGTTTAAGGAGATATGATTACAATGTAGCTATGAATAACCTCATAACAGCACAGCAGCTACAGACATGGGTTTATTTCGTATCCATTTGATACGCATTGACATTTAAAATGGAAACAGATTAATTTCTAAGTCTCCAAGAGTTAGTTACCAAACCTTTGGCTAGAATGGTCTGTCAAAATGAGTATGATGTCAGGTATTTAACCATACTCACTATTAATAAATCAATTTTTGTAATTTGGTTAACTCATCTTGATCTAGAAAGATGCTGATCATTTTCTCCTAGATTAATTAAAATACCTACAAGATGCAAAGGAGATGTAAATTCAAACTCAGTCTCATCAGCCCCTTTGAAGAACTCTAGCCTAACATAAACAGTTATTAAATACACAGCACAAGAGTGCTAAACTTGATGGATATGCTTGGATAAATTCAAGGAGATACCAGTTTATACAGCTGAAATAGTTCCCATCTTTTCACAAGCCGACTACTTTCTTTGGTCCAGAGTCTGCCTGCTACATATCAGCCCATTATGCCAATACCATGCAAGAAATGTAACATGCTTCTGCTAATAGAAATATTTAGATCTTACACTCTAAAGCACTACACAGGGTATGACTTTGCCAGAATCAGCCAGGAAGCACAGGATGAAAATTATTCTAGTCAACAGCATTTCATGCACAAAACCACAGCTAAAATTCGAAGAACAGATGACATCTGTTCGCCATATCTGTTCAGTGCTAAAATCACATCAGCCACTAATGAGAAAGTGCTACCTTTTTGCACAGCTCCGACAGAAGTTTTCTTGGAAGAAAGTACTAGCTTTTTGTACAGTTCTAACACAAGTTTTCTTGTGTTTTCTCTTCTTTGGGAGAAAATATTGTCCAACTCCCTTAGCTGAGATATCTATCAAGGAATTTGAAACAAGGCAGAAAGGATGAGGAACTATTTGGGCAGTAAAAAACTAGTTTACTAGGATTTCTCCATAAGAAGAAGCAGCAGCAAAAATCAGTGCCTGATTTACTTAAAATTTATGCTGCTTACTCTTTAGCCTTAAAGGAAAAAGCAACCCTTGTTTTATGAACCTGGTGATACCCAGGACCCAAAAGAGCAAGGTATTCAGCAATTCCTATGAATGCCAAACATCCGCAATTCCCATCAGCTACAGAGCTCAGTAACAGGAGGGATTCGGCATCTCATTAGTTCAGGCCTTTAAACTGGGGAGATGCAGGGCCCTCCATCACGTAGCCATGCTCGGCACTGCTTGAGGAAACAGATCTTTTGAATGAGAAAAAGAAATCAAGCTGCTCAAAGTAGAAAACTGAAAATATTTTCCTCCTCTCAAGCCAGTTGGGTCCTCGTTATTTCACTGATCACGAAGAAAATAACTCACATGGCCTCTGTGTAGAGACAATACTGAAAGGTTCTCAAGACTCCTACTCTGAATTCAGCCCAAGTTTTCCAATATACTATTTTTCCATACTACGCGATGTCATTACATCACAATTCTTAAATTACTCAATTTAGCAGTTAGGCTGCACTTTGAGTCAGAATAAATCACTATTTAGAGACTACAAATTGCAGTATTTACAATTCTGCCCTGAATCAAATTAAACTTTTCAATTTGAAAATGTGTTCATTCTTATGAACATCTCAATTTATCAAGCAATCATAAAAGAGATAAGTTATATAAACTGAGAGGCCTCAGAGTTCAGCTGGCAGGGAAGTTCACTGTATATACCGACAGTGCCATTCAGCGAACACAGGACACTTTATAGAATAATTTAATAGGGAGCTGTTAGTGAAAAGTATATACATTGTACTTTTTATCACAGTTCAACTCCTGACATGTTGATGCTCTAGCTACCCTTGAGTATTAACAAACATTTCACAGAATGTGCTATTGCTGCTAAAGGTAAGCTCTGGACGAAAAGCAGATAAAATAAATACAAAATGAGCTGCAGTGGTCGTAAACTTAAAGTGATTGATGGTAACTCAGAGAAAAATTGCTAGAAGAAGACATAAAGGATATGTACCGCATGCAAATCTACGGCTAAGGAAACTGCCTCCGTATAATTCATCCTGCACATTGCCAAACCTCTGCAGGCAATGGAGATGACAAATAATCTGAGTTTTTACACCTTACGGTGACACAAACATGTTTCTGTGCCCTGCTCTGAGCAACACAGCACCTTCTGCCACCAAGCTATGGCCACAGATGCGTGGACGCGTTCCACGTGCTCCCCACCCGGCCCCAGACCCGGATGATGGCTTTGGGGTGACACTCGCCATACAGCCAGAAACACCACGGGGTCTGCTGAGCGCTCGGGACCTGTGGGAAACTAGCGGCTTTCCAAAGCTCGTCCTGGCAACTTTTGCCCGACATTCAAGGGCACATCTAGCCTTGCAGCCGTGTCCCTCGTCAGCCCTGACTGAAATCCCCTACTTTGCCAAAGACATTAAGTTAATATCCCGCGTACCTGCTCTTCCGCGGCCGGGGCACAACCACACGGACGCGGCGCTGGCCCCTCGGGGAGCTCCGTCCCGCCTCGGCCGCGCCTCCCGCGCCCCCCGCACGGCCCGCGGGTGCTGCTCCCGCGCCGCTTCCCGCTGCTGACCCGTCCGCCCCGGCTCTCCCGGCACCGGGACCCCCCGCATCCCCCTCCGCATCCCCCTCCGCAGCCGGCCCGCCCGGCGCGCACCTGCCCCGGCCCCGCCAGACGCCGCGCAGCCACCGCGGGGGTCCGCGCAACTTTCTCCCTCTCCGCAAAGAGCCGCGGGCCCCGAGGCGGCTCCGCTCCGTCCCCGGTGCCGCGGAGCTGTGGCCCGGGAGCCCGTCGGGCCGCCCGCTCCTCTCGGGCCACGCGATCTCGGCGCCCCCCAGCCCGGGCCGCGCCCCCCCTTCCTTCCCCAGCGCTGCCCTGCGCGCCCCATCCGCGCAGGCCCCACGCCCCCCCAGCACCGCTCCCTCCTGCGCTTTAACTCCGTGCAAACACATGGCAAAGTGAGCCGGGTCACTCAGCCGCTAAACAGAAAATCGAAAAAGCCAAGAAAGATCTCCATCAACGGCTAAGAAAGAATTAAATCCCCCCCCCGGAGGAAAAAAAAAAATCAACAAACAACAACCAAACAAATAGAAAGTACCAATAATCCTAATCTTTTCCCAGATCAAGGCTCTTATCCCGCGACTTGCATTTGATCTCTTCTCATGTGCTCGCTACCTACCACTCAAATCCCATTTTCTATACGTTTACACGATTCGCAGCTCGTCCCACGCTTGGAAATTAAAAAGTAATTGCAAGGGTAAGAAGAGTAAGAATAAAAAGTCCCTGTCCTTCCCGGCTTGGGTTAAAAAGGAGAAGTAGCGACATGCAAATGACAGGCAAATTGGAAGAGACAAAAAGCAAGGCAGCTATAATAAACAGGACAAAGAGGAGGCTCGGAGGAGCGGAGCAGGAGTTTAAAGCGGGGATGGGGAACTTCGCCGGGGACGGGGGGAGAAAGAAGCTCGGAACAAGAAGAAGAAGCCAAATACTCGCTGCGCTTTCCGTCCCCGCAAAACTGCCCTCCAACCCACGGAATAAAATAAAGAGCGGTCCACAAAAGGTGGCAGCGAGAGAGCGAAGGGGAAGGGGGGGAGGATCACCTAACAACGAGCAGGTCACTTACTCTTCAGCCCTGGGCAGGCTACGGTGAGCGCTCCATCGGGCTCCTTACCGCTCACAAATCCTTACCGCTTTATCTACCGGGGAATTAAAACTACTCAGCTAATAAAGTCACTGCAATTTTGCCCCCTGGAAAAAGAAGCACAGGTTTGATAACGGTGATCAATATTTTGCTGGGGATTTCATCACCGCCCCCCTCCCCCCGGACCGTTTAGAGCAGCCCAAGCAAGTGCGAATTTAGGGGAAAAAAAAAAAAATTAAAAAAACCCGAAAGACCTGAAAAGGCCGAGAAAGCGGGGAGGGACGGAGGGGGCGCGGAGGGGGAGCGGGTACTTACTCGGTGCAAAGGCGACGAAACTGAGCCTGGCTTTTTTTTTTTTTTTGCCGGTGGAAGGAGAGAAAGGGCGACACGCACACGCACATGCACACACACACGCACACACACACACACGCGCGCCCCGCACACGCACACACGCACTCGCGGACACGCGCGCGCAGCCCCGCCGCTGATGAATATGATAATCGCGGGCGCGGGCGGGAGCGCGGGCGGGCAGCGGCCGCGGGGCTGCGGGCGCCGAGCGGAGCGGAGCGGAGCGGAGCGGCGGGCGCGGAGCGGAGCGGGGGCGGCGGGAGCGGCGCGGGGCAGGGCTGGGCTGGGCTGGGCTGGGCTGGCCGAGCCGAGCAGCGCTCCGCACCGCCACAAGATTTACTTTAAGACACAGCTGAAGGAAACAGGAAGACTAGACGTCACACTCGGAGTGACGTGGGCCCGGCCCGGCGCCCAATCGGGAGGCTCCTTGGGACGGACGGGGGGGACGGGGAGAACTTGGCAGGAGCGGGGAGAGAGGCGAGGGGAGCGCGGGGGGGTGAGGGTCGCCCCGCCCCGTCCCCGCGGGAAGGTGGCGGCGGCCGCGCACCTGCGGCGGGGACGGACGGACGGACGGACGGACGGACGCGGGGCGGGAGCGCCGGCAGAAGCGGCCCGACGGGGCGCCCCGCTCACCTCTGCCGCGCACCGGCAAGGGGCGGACGACAGCCGCCCCGCGTGGGGAGGGGTGGGTGACAAACTTTAGGAGAGTCACCCCCCGCGTGGGCGGGGGCTGCTCTGCGATGCCCCATGCGGTAAAGTTTTCCACGCGAGAAGGCTTCCGCAGAGCAGTGTCGGGGCCCCAGGGTGCGCCTGTTTCACGCGTAAAGCATCGGACGGTGGAGCAAACCCGCGTCTGCGGGCGCTGTCGCCTCACGCGGGTCACAAACTTTAGGAGAAACGGGCCCGCGGCCGCCCAGCCCGCGGCACCGCGTCCCCCGCCGCCGCTCAGTGGCAGCGGCTCCGCCGGGCGTCGCGGGGCTGTCAGCAGCAGCCGCGCGGGCATTTTCCACGTGGGAGGCAGGAAATAAACACGAAATCGAGCATCAGGTTGCGGCGCGTGGAGCAACCGGTGGTACTGAGACACGGGTCTTCGGTGCGGGCGGCCCCGGCCCCCTGCGCAGCACGACCCAAGTTTAGCTCAACTTAACCCTATCCCATCCTGCTCCCCGCCGGCTCTAGTGGAAAGATTGGGGGGGAAAAAATGGGAGAGAAAAAAAGCCACAATAGTGGATCGCAGCAGGTCTGGACTGCGATCCGGACTGAAACCTGTCGGGCGCGCTCTGTCCCGCCTGACCGCGGCTTTCCCGCAGCGCGGGACAGGGAGCGCCCGCACCCCTGCCCCTGCTGCTGCGGAGATTTGCCCGGCTGCTGCCGGCCGGGAGGCGAGACTGAGCGAGGGGAAACAGCCTCAGGATTGCGGATAGCGGGGGATACACCAGGGAGAGGGAATAAAGTCCTGCGGAGAGCCGGGCGGCAGCGGAGCGCTGCAGGGCGCTCGGCGACAGGTAAGGACGGCGCTGCCTCGCCGGGCCCGTCTGCCCGCGCCCGCCCCTCGGGCGGAGAGGGATCCCGAGTGGAGGGGAGAGCCCCAATGGGGCAAGGGCAGGCGCACCAAAACTTGGCGCTGCCACTCTGTGCCGGCGGCGAGGGGCCGGGCCGCACCTCGCCCCCCGCTCGCCCTGCTGCTGGTGCCGCCGCTGAGGCGGGCAGCTGCTCCGCCAGTCCCGCTGCCACGGTGAGGATCCGTCTCACTAGAGGGGAGCCGCGGCGCCGAGCCCTACGCCTGGGTGCGGACAGCAGGCTGTGCTGAGGGGGCTGCCCTCCGTGCCAAAAGTTTGGGAGCCGGCCCGGGCAGCAAACCCACCCTCTGGGGCCAGCCCTGCCCTGCCCGCGGGGGTGAAACGCGTGTGCCCCGCGCCGGCTCCTCGGTGCCCGCCGCCGCTCGGGCCGGGGGGCGGCTCTGCGGTGCCTCCGTAGCGGGGAGCGGGGTCACCGACGCGGGTTCACGAGTAACGCGGCAAGCCACCGCAACCGATCTCTAAGAAATCACAGGGACCGGCCGAAGGGACTGCCGGAGCTGTCGCAGGGGAGCTGCTCCGAGTTAAAAAAATTACATGTCGCTGCCGGTATCGGGGTCGCGAGGAGATGCGGCCGGCAGCACTCGCCCCAGAGCCCGGTACCCGTGCGAGGCGAAACCTTCGGCGGCGGCGGCGCCCGGCCCGTCGGGGCTCGCAAGGCGGCAGGCGGATGGGGGACCGGCTGCTCGATGCTCCCCGGCCCCGTGGCACTGCGAGAGCTGCTTCTCGGGGTCGCAAATGCCCCGCTGTGCCGTGCCGCCTTCCGAGGCCCGGCCGGGGCCGACGCTGGCCGGCCCCGCGCTGTGAGTGACCGCGAATCCCCGGTGCAACGGGGCGCATCCCGGGACGCTGCGCTGCTGCCGCTTTGCTCCCGCAGTCCGAGCGCCGGGCGGCCCCGCATCGGTGCCCGGTGCCCGAGGCGCCCTCCAAGCCCGCGAAAGTGTCGGGACGGCTTTGCAGATAATTATTTTAACGTGACACCTTTCGAAACAGCACCGGGCCCTCCGCCGCCGGGGAGCGACGGGGCTGCAGCGGCCCGACGGGGGCGGCCCGGGCTGCGCTGCGCTCCGCGGGCGCGGAGAGGCGGCGCGGCCGGCCCGGGGCACATCCCCGCGTTGCTCTTTCGGGGCTCGGCTGGCCGGGGTGACACGCTCAGCCTCCCGGTGCAGGGGCTGCGAGACGAGGGTGCAGAAGTGTGTCTGGACGCAGGGGGAGATAGGCTAAATTTGGCGGGGGAATGTCTCGCTTGGACGCTTTCCTTTTTCTTTCCTTTTTTTTTTTTTTTTCCTTTTGTTTTGTTTGTTTGTTTTTTCTTTTAAAGGACACCGAGGTACTCGTAGAGAAGAAGCCGAGCCGTGCAAATGCAAATACATAAGTAAATAGCTACCTCTGACACTGTTCTTCTCACCGCTGGGGCTCACCTTAACTTCAACCACTGTTCATCTACCCAAAAAAGAAACTGAGGCTCTGGGAGTGAAGCGATGTCCCCAGGGTCACATGGCAGAGCAGTGGCAGCCAGTCTGGCCCCAGCGCAGGCTTCCACCTATCCTGCAGCCCTGCTGCCTCCTTTCCGTAGCTGCTTGCATGTTACCTCCCTCCAGCCCCCTGTCTTGCAACTTTTCCAAGTCGAAACACACGGGCCCTAAGATCTGCCACACCAGTAAACGCAACTGGAGTGAAATTCACACTTCCCACTCCCCTGCCATCTCGGGCACTGAGTGAGCGCTCCAGACCCTCTTAATCCTGGAGGATAGGCAGACAGCCTCTTAAGGAATGCAAGCTGATGATTCAAAGCTCAGCATTAAAAGTAATCCCCCACCCACCACCCAAATTTTAGAGTTGGAGGAAAAGCGTTTTTCCCCTCAAGAATTTAATCCCTCAAAGTGGTCCATGCC